GTCTCACATGTTGAAAGATTTTTGCAGTTATGTCAATCAACTGACTGTCGTGATGATATTGGGGAGATCTTAAGTCTTGGTTTATGCATTTTGCGTGGTTCTCGCAAAATGAGAGCAAAGGAGTTGCTAAGACATCTTAAATTGAATATTGCGAAGGTAAAGCTGATAAATTCTACAACTTAAATAATTTTACAATTTCTTAGTCTTGTGCTGCTTTCGAAACTTTACCATGCTATTTGACTTTGAATGCTTACGTCAGCTTAAATCTGGGACTTGCTTGGAAGAGGTTTGGAAGATGGAGGAAGACAGCTCAGCCAATTGCACTGGTAATTTATCTTCAAATCAAATAGCGCGGTTAAGTTCCCTCAGCAGTATAAGCCTGAGAATTGTAATTCTATTTACTAGGGTCTTATCTAATTTCACTGGTAACTTTTCTTCAAATCCTGGATAACTTTGGAGAAAGATCTCATCACATGAAAGTAGGGTCTGATTATTCTACATACTCGAGCAAACTCTTCTGAAGAACAACGTCAAGTGGTTAATTATATAATCTGTCAAATATCTTGTATGTTCACCATCATTTACACCATCAATCTTTCATATTCTTGCCTGTTAGGAGAATGATTTTGTACACGCTTATTAAAAAAAATATTTTGGTATTTTATGCACAGATGCACCTGATAATGCTGATTCTACACAAGGTTCTCATGACAATTCTGACTCCATTATCAGCTCAGAGTGGACTATGCCCACTCCTTTTGATCATTGGATTGAGTCCCTAAAACTTGAAAATGAGATTGATCAGGTTCTGCAGGCACTGAAAAGATCACAAGAGTTTGAGTATAATTTAGCAGAAGAAAAGCTTCTATCACATAAAAATTATCTACATAATCTCTTTCAGCAACTTGACAAGGAGCAAATTGAACTTGGACATCAATCATCGTCAACAGGACAAAATGTTTTCCTGGATAATGTAACAAACAGAGTGGATCAAATAAAACGAGAAGTTAAAAGGCTCAAGAGAATGGAAAAGGTTGCTGATGGATTTGGAATGACTCCTAAAGATATCCTCAAGGAGGACTTCGATTTGGATGTTGAGTAGATACACGGACGCCTTAGGCCATTATGATGCCGCACAAAAGTTCACTGAACTCTGTTGGTTCTTTTAGCCTTATGTGGACTTTAATAGTTTGTTATTACTGTTTATTATATGGCTTCACGAGGCTGAGTGTATGATATCGAGAAATCATTTCTACTTCGCAAGTAGATTTTACTTGGTTGGTTTATGAGGATAGCTGGATTCAGTAAGCAAGATACTGAAACTATGCAGTTGTGGAGTTGCCGGAAAGAGTTTAGATTAGAGATATTTTGGTGCCTTGTGTTCAACCCTCTACAATGAGTTTTCACGGTAGGCCTTCATATCAATTTCTCAACACGATACATTTTAAATTCTCTACTGATCAAACTGTCTGTTCTTCTCCTGTTTGATGTCTTTATTACTTATATATTGAATGGATGAACAAATGAGAATTAGAAACAAGCATTGCTCTAGGATAGATACTTTAAACCAACTAACGATCTTTCTCGCTTGAACTCTCTGGAAACGATTATTTATGTTTTGAATTCTCAAGAATATTGGACCTCTTCTCAGATAAACTTCCTCGCCCCCGTTGGTTGCTTGACGGATTTGGTTTTAGTGGCTTCTGTGGAGCTTAATAGAGGATCCTGTCTGTCTGGTTCAGGCTTCTTGTCACTACATGCAGAAGAGGTACTTTCTTCTGATTACAGTGCTAAAATTAGAACATATTTGAGGCCCCCTAAAATAAAAGAAAAGTCAATTCCATTTATTACATAGAAAGGAAGCTTAGTGGAATGTGGTGAAACCGCCATTTTATTTATCAGGATGATGATGATGATGATGATGATTTTGGGACCTACTGTTGACAGTTGACGTGTGAATGACTTTCTTCTGTTCACGACAAAAAAGGTCGGCTACTTTCTTTGTTATTTGGCTTTTCATCCTTACTAAAGTATTTTGCAGCTGTTCTTTGAGACCGTAGTGATGATGCAAAGTTTTTCCCCATCAACGAGTACAATATTAATATATATTTTTTTGGTTATTTAATCGAAAATACGAATAGTTTTGGTATCTTTTCCCCCCCTTTTTATTCTAGGCCTTCTGATTAGTTACTTGGCCACCAATAAAGTCTCAGAAAATGCCTCCATAGCCTCCTTATTTTGTTTAAATTTGATAGACTAAAACTAAACCGAATATGAAGCCAGGGAAATCTGATGTTGTGCTGAGATGAACTTAGTTACTGGATCCTACTATATTTATAGAACAAATCTAAACCCCCCATTTTTATTCATAATGAAGAATGATCGTGATAAGATAATACAAGTGGTTTCTGCCAAAGTATTGAATGATGTGTTTGGTTCGCAAATTAGATTTGTATAGTCTAAATATGCGAGATTATGTGCTTCTTTTATGTAAATACAAACTTGTGAAGTCGTCCTCTTAATAATTAAGTTTTAATAATGGGATTGTAGGCCACAGCGATGCAGTCATTCCACGTCCAAAAGTACTATGACGAAAGTTGGGATCAACGCCTGATTCATATGGTCAGCCACATGGTACAACAATAACTCTTTTGGGCTTTTGTTTGTCATATTGTATATAGAGACGAGCACATTTAATTTTAATGACTGAATATAGAATCTGTGTCAAAATAAGACACTCAAAATTCTCCAATTTCACAATAATCTACTTGCCTAGGGGGAAAGATAACTGAACTATAAATTTGTAACCAGATAACTTAGCTAAAAAATTTGTATTATTTATTGACATGAGAAAATTGACAATGAAGTAGTCGGGTCTTTGCATCTTCTATTCGAAAAGATATATTAGATGCTTCTTCAATATTGAAACTACTACACGGATGGTACCTCTCATGGGTTGGAGGAGGATAGAGGATGCACAATCCACTTAAGTATCATACTGTATAAAACTAAGTCACAAAATATTTAATCTTTATATTTCTTAAAGTTAAAGTTGTCGATTTGATCATAATTCAACAAATACATATTATCAATTAAGAAGTCGAAAGGTTAAATACCTAAATTCACAGGTTCGATCTAAGACGATCTAAGAAAATCTAGAAAGTGAATCATTAACCTGAACACCAAAAACCTATGAGTTTCCATCGGCTAATAAAGCAACACCAAACATGACCCATAAAGATTCGAAAAAAAAAAAAAAAAAAAAAAAAAAAAAAAAAAAAAAAAAAAAAAAAAAAAAAAAAAAAAAAAAAAAAAAAAAAAAAAAAAAAA